GTACTTCCCCTTCCAACCCGAGTGGACATGGGAGCCACAGCCTTCCCATCGTGCCCTTTTCTCTCCTTCGATGTCACCAGCTGAGTGGGGCTCACCTCCCTGACTGGGGGTTTCGGCAGCTGGAGATCGTCGGGGAGAAACTGTCCAGGGGCTACCACGACAGCACGGTGTGGAACGTGGAGGAGCACCGCTACGGCACGAGTGAGTCCGTGCACAGCTCCGCCGCTCCGGGAACACGTTCGAGATTTTAATAACACCCAAAGCAGAGTTCTCGTTTTGGTGGGAAGGGAACCAAGCACATTCTCCATGCTCAGTGGCAGGTCATCTCCCTCCTTGCAGCCCGCACTCAGCTGTGGCTGTAGCATCTTAAGATGCTTCTTCCGAGGTGTTGCTGGAAGACAGCCAGTTTATCCCCTTGCAAGTGGGGCCTTCTCAGGGTGGAGGCAGCCTCATTTGACCGGGTGGTCCTGGGTGTGGGGTAAGACTATGTTGAATGATACCATTCGAGGAGGGGTCTTTGTGGGTTGCTGGAAAGGCAGGAAGCCAGCTTTTGGCTGTGCTGACAGCTTCTGTGCTAAGCTCCTGACCTTGCGCTGCTCCCGTCTGTTGTGCCCATGTATGTTCTGCCAGGCCAGGAGCAGAGAGAGCGGGAATGGGAGCTGAACTCACCTGTGCAGGTGGACGCCAGCAGGAACCTGAGCTTCATGGCCAGATTCTCAGAGCTGCAGGTGATGAGTGGCCAGGGGAAGCTGGCCTTGCTCACTGAGCAGATTCCTCACCAGGGAGGCCTGGGGGCTGCACAGGCCTCAAACCAGAGTGAGGCCTTGACGCTGGACCACAGGCTCACCACAGGATGAGTGTCTCCTCTCTCCAGTGTAAGGGACTGTGTGACACCCCTGGCCCACACCTTTTGGCCCTGTGGTCAGGAATAGGGGCCCAGGAGGTTCTGCGACATCGCCAGGGTGTCTTAAGGCCCCCGGGCAGTGACATGGGCCACAGTCAACAGAGCCCAAGAGAAGTCAGAATCAGAAACTCAGGGTCACAAATCTGAACGTGACCTTAGAGAGCATTCAGCCCAATCACTTAGTCTACAGAGGAGGTGACTGGAGCACATGGGGTGGGGCGACCCTCCCAAGGCCACAGCTGGGGCTAGGATCCAGGTTCTGATCATGCTGCCTCTGATGCATGAGCCAAATGAACTTGAGATGGGACAGTCCACATTTGAGGGGCAGCAGTGTGCTCCTTGGCCAAATTGACATGCAGCAGGAGGTGTCCCCTGTCCTCCCAATCTCAGGCCTCTGCTTTGTTCCAGTGGAGGATGCTGGTGCTGAGAAGTGATGACTCAGAACACAAGTACAGCTCCAGCCCGCTGGAGTGGGTCACCCTGGACACCAATATTGCCTACTGGCTGCACCCCAGGACCAGCGTGAGTGAGCGATGCTGACAGCTGACAGTCAGAGACGCATTCTGTTTCTTGAGAATTCTGGCATTAGAGCAGCCATGTTGCCCTAGAAAGTACTGGGTTTCTCCAGAGCTTTTCCTGACAAAGGCCTGTGACTCGCTTTGCTCTAAACTCTCTGGCAACGTGGGGCCAGGAGTAGGGGCGTGGCCTGTGTGCTTGTTGATGAAGAAACCTGGCTTGATTGCTTTTGTGGGGACACATCGTTCCCCTTTTCCTGGCGAAAGTGCTTTGAAGATCCTCATATTCCATCTTCTGCATGGCATTTGCTGGTGGAGCTGGCTAGTGCTTTGTTGATGTGTGTACCGTCTCTCTCCACCTGGCAGAGTGAAAATGTCATCAGTGCCCCATAAATATTCACTGAACGGGCAGATGCTGGAAATGCCCGCCTTTTTCCTCCTCCCTCAGAGGCGGGTAGGTTGGCTCAGCACACGCAGAGGCAGAGGCGCAGGCCCAGAGATCTGCCCCCGGCCCTGCCACCAGCCCTGAGCGCACTTTGCGTTCTCCTCTGTGGACAGCGGCCGTAACAAAGTGGAGTCATCTGCTCCCAGTTTTCAGTTTCTAATTACAAAATTGAGAGCATCATGTTTTTTTGGGTTTTTTTTTGACAGAGCCTGGCTTCATCGCCCAGGCTGGAGTGCAGTGGCCCAATCTCAGCTCACTGCAACCTCTACCTCCCTGGTTCAAACAATTCCCCTGCCTCAGCCTCCAGAGTAGCTGGGATTACAGGTGCCCACCACAATGCCCAGCTAATTTTTGTATTTTTAGTAGAGATGGGGTTTTACCATGTTGGCCAGGCTGGTCTCAAACTCCTGACCTCAGGTTATCCGCCCACCTCAGCCTCCCAAAGTGCTGGGATTACAGGCATGAGCCACCATGCCCGGCCTTCATCAGTGCTCTTAATGAAAGGTCTGAGTAGCAGCAGACTGTCCCCAGCAGTAGTGAGGCCTAGTGGATGGGGGCTGTGCCAGGGCGTATTTTTAACTCTGCTGAAGTAGCGTGTGCATCTCAGTGCCTTTCATGTGTCCTCTTCCCTCCCTGAGCAGAGGGCAGGTGGCTAACGGTGTCTCCCATGTGCCTTTAGGCTCAGATCCACCTACTCGGAAACATAGTGATCTGGGTTTCGGGCAGCCTCGCCCTGGCCATCTACATGCTGCTGTTCTTGTGGTACCTGCTCCGACGGCGAAGAAACGTCCATGACCTCCCCCAGGGTTAGGACACCTCCCACATGGCTTTTTTCTTTTTAATACAGAGATAGCGTCTTGCTATGGTGCCCAGGCTGGTCTTGAACTCCTGGGCTCAAGAGATCCTCCCGCCTCGGCCTCCCACAGTGCTGGGATGACAGGTGTGTGCAGGTGTGCCCGGCCCACAGCTCATTTGTACGTCTCTTCCTTCTCCTGCTGCCGAGTTCACTGCTTCAGGTGACAAACCAAGTTTATAGAAACCAACCCTTAAGGCAGCCTCTTTGTTGCTGTATTAAGGGAACTTAAATCATGTTTGTCTCCCAAGAGACAGAATGTTGCAGTGACGTTCCTACATTGCGTCAGCGGTGTATCCAGTGAAGTGCAGCATGGCGGGCAGGAGTTACCTCCTTAGTCCCATGCTGCCTGTATGTGCAGGAAATGGCTGGATAAAATGGGCAGCCAGGCCGGGCGCCGTGGCTCACACTTGTAATCCCAGCTCTTTGGGAGGCCAGGAGTTCAAAACCAGCCTGGGCAACATAGTGAGACCCCTGTCTCTATAAAGGCCTGTAGGAGCAGCAGAGCCACTGCAGCTCAGACCCTCTCCCGCAGATGCCTGGCTGTGCTGGGTGCTGGCGGGGTCGCTGTGTGGTGGTGGCTGGGCCGTGAACTACCTCCCGTTCTTCCTGATGGAGAAGACACTCTTCCTCTACCACTACCTGCCTGCGCTCACCTTCCAGATCCTTCTGCTCCCTGTGGTCCTGCAGCACATCAGCGACCATCTGTGCAGGTGGGGGGGCTGTGTCACCAGTGGCTGGGTCAGGCAGCAGCCCTCTGCTGGAAGGCCCCAGAGCAGCAGACACATGGGGTGCAGCCAGCCTCACCCATTTCACCCTAACTCACATTCTCCTGGCCCGTCTGGGGAATGCAGGAGGTTCAGAAGAGGTCCAGATGAGGCCCCACAGGAACCCAGAGGGAGAAGTCGAGGCTGACAGAGATGAAGGTGGTGTGGGCGGGGAGGCGGGGGAGGGATGAAGAGGCGTGGGTGGCCTGGAGGGTGCGGGAGCAGGGAGCAAGGCCCCGGGAGGCTCGGGGTCAGGAGGGGCAGCTGCTTACAGGCGGGTTGTGTGGTATGGTAGAGAGAACCCAAGAAAGCTAAACCGGAGTGTGATTGGAGGCTGGAGTGCAGGTGAGGGCCTCCCGGCCTCGGGACCAGTCCTTTGGCATCTGCATGGGGGTGGCCTAGCCAGTGAGGAAGTCTGAGGAATAGTCAGGGGGACCCCTCTCAGTGCATCCAGGCAGGAGATGGTCACCAGTGGTGGGAGACAAGAAACAGAAACCTGAACGCAGAAACCCAGGCCTTGGGAGGCGACCGTGTAAACAGCAGATGCCAAGAGGGGACGGGGCAGGGAAGCCGCGGTGGCCGCCATCCTCCCGCACACTGCTCTGACCTTTGCAGGTCCCAGCTCCAAAGGAGTGTCTTCAGCGCCCTGGTGGTGGCCTGGTACTCCTCTGCATGCCACGTGTCCAACACGCTGCGCCCACTCACCTATGGGGACAAGTCACTCTCGCCAGAAGAACTCAAGGCCCTTCGCTGGAAAGACAGCTGGGACATCTTGATCCGAAAACACTAGAACAAGAGCGTGGCAGAGAATGCCCTTGCTGGAGTCGAGATGAGGTGGAAGGGTTTTGGTCAGTGTACTTAATGAGCAGGGTGCCCCCACGCTTGGAGGACGTGGGCCGGTCTCAGTAGGGACTCCACTGGAACACGTGGTGGTCTCATTCCTGAAAAGCCCTCTTATGAGCACCTCCTTTTGTGCAGTTAATTTTTTCTCGACAATGAAGAACACATTCCCTCCGTGTCCTCACTCCTGAGAGGCCCTGAACTAAGACACAGGGAGTATTTCAGCGGCCAGCGTAGGAGTCATCGAGGAAAACAGCTGAGAACCCAGGGCTAGCAGTGGAGCCAGTGACAGCCTCATCAGACCAATGCCCGGTCCTTGCTAACCACTGCAGGGCACAGTTTGATCTGGTGGCCCAGTCTCCTTCATGAATGCCCTGAATGCCCGCCAATGGGAGCAAGTCCCACCCTGGCCCTCAGCGAGCCCAGCAGGCATCCCTGGACAGCTCCTTGTCAGAACTGCCTGCATGGGAGCCAGGCTGGGCTTGCGTGTCATTTTCTGACAGCATTGAGGCTGGCCCTCCGCACTGTGCCGTGTGGAAACCCTCCCACCTGAGATGCCACTGAGACGTGGCTGAGTAGCACCTTCCTCCCCGATGGCCAAGGTCTACGTCATCCATACAGCTCCTTGCCCCTACTTTGTCTTTTTTAATGTAATTAAAAAAGGGACAAACTGGCATTTGTAGTTGGTGTTGTTTATTGATTCCTCCTCCAAAGGAGCCTACACTCAACAAAACCGTTACAGCTACGGGGCTCAGCTCAGTTCACCACAGCACATCTGCGTCACTACTGTGGCTCAGCCTGGACAGAAGGGGGCTGGGACTGCCTGTGGCAGCGATAGGGGACACTTGACAGAGCGGCAGCCACCACGCAAGAGGGAGAACCAGGGAACACAGACACGGGTGCTCACGTGAGGTCACAAGCTCCACATGGCACAAAGGAGACTGATTGGCTTCGGACAGTCACGTCTGCTGGCACCTGGGTGATCCAGTGTATGCTGCAGCCAGAGGCACCACTCCCTGGACCTGGCCACCAGCCACCCTGGGGTGGGACAGCCTGTCTAGACAGCACCTTGGGCTTGGGGGCTCCTGTGAGGATCAGTGAGGGCCCAACCCCAGGCAAGACTACACATGGACACTGTCCTGCCAGCAGGGACAGACCTGGCCTCCACTGCTGTCTACCCTGCTGCACGGGCTCCCAGCCTGACCCCACACGAGAGCCTGTGTGTGCTGCTGGGTGCTCCCAGGACGCCCGCCTTGCTTCTCTGCCTTTAAGGCACAGGCAAGGGGGGAAAACATCCCTCTGAGGCTCCCCACATCCGTGTAGGCCACGCTGGACTGCAAACCGCTGGTGGGTCATGAAATTCAGTTTGTAGGCCACCACCAGCCTGTGTTACAAAAACAACAAAGCAAAACATGAGGATGTGTAACAAAAACGGAACGCATATGCTCACAAAACTTCTGAGTTGTGAGAGTGTGTAAGAACTAGATCAGACTGGAAAAAAAATCTCTGTGTGGATTCACTGTCAAAAAAACACCAGGCCAGCCATAGTATCCAAGCTGTTTCCTCAATCTCCCCAATAATATGTGCCTCACATTCCTCCAGAAGCCTCCCAAGGTTCCCGCACATTCTGTGTAATTTCTCGGTGGCCTAGAGAGAGAGCTTTAAACCACAGGGAGCCTGAGGAAGCGGCTGGGAACTGCAGGAACGCGTCGGTGTCCCAGCAAGTTGAGGCTGAGGGACACACCCATTTCCGTTCCTAAGTGACGAAGGCCCCGCTCCTAACGCCACCCTGGGGTGGAAGCAGTGTGTGTGGGTGGGCATCCCCTGGCTCGGTCCCTGAACACACATGCGGGGTGGGAGACCTGTCCCCAAGGCTCAGGGCAGCACGGCAGCCCCTCAGTGGGGTCTGCTGCTAGACTCCAAGTGCGACCGTTTGCCAGAGGTCAGCATCCCAGGCTGGTCCCCTGGCTCAGAAAAGGTCCTCTTGTAGCTCCGCCCGTTGGACCCTCCTCGGTGCCATTTGCAGATGTCACCATTCAGAATGTCCTGGATGTGCTGCACGATCAGGTTGATGGCAACTGCGCCAAGAGACACACAAGCAGCAGGTCAGCTGCATCCATCCTCCCTGGAGACCGCCCCTCCTGCAGCATCGGCCAGGGGTGAGAGCCCAAGGCACAGGTCTACGTGCTGGGAACTGGTCGGGTCAAATCTCAGCAGACAGAAACACGCATCAGGACACAGCAAAATAAGACTCTTAACTTGGTCTCCCACGGATTTACGTTAAGAGTCTGTTTAAAATACTTTCTGCTACCAGTTTTGAATAAATATATATATATATATATATATGTTTTAAGAAACAGGGCCTTACTTTCGTGCCTAGGCCAGAGCGCAGCGGCCCCATCACAGCTCAGTGCAGCTTTGACCTCCCAGGCGCAAGCAGTCCTCACACCTCAGCCTCCCAAGTAGCTGGGACCAGAGGCACATGCCACGACGCCCAACTAATTTTCTTATTTTCTGTAGAGATAGGGTCTGGCAGTGTTCCCCAGGCTGATCTTGAACTTCTGGGCTCAGGTGATCCCCCTGCCTCAGCCTCCCAAGGTGCTGGGATTACAGGTGTGAGCCACTGTACCCGGCTACATAAATTTTCAAGCATATTTTAACCCCGTGCTACAGATCAACACTGCAGGCCTCGTGCGCAGGGGAGTGCCCAGTAACTACCCGCTGGTGGAACTCTCCCTGCCTCAGGCTCTGGGAGGGGCGGGGAAAAGCCCAGCAGGCCAGCTTCTTACCCATATTGTCCACTCCTCTCGGGATGATCACGTCGGCATACTTCTTTGTCTGTAAGGCACAAGGGGGGGATTCTCGTGAGGACTTCTCCTTCAAAGGTGGTTTTAAGATGCTCAGAAACTGATGCAACTGCAGGAGGGGTGGCCCTGAGGTGCTCAGAGTTACTGGTGTTATCGGCAGATGGGGGACAGGGATTCAGTCAGCAGCCAGGTGTGAAATGCCATGATCCAAGAAGGCAAAGTACAGCTGAAGCAGCCAAAAGAACTGCCCCTTCCAGCGTTCCTGTTCCATTAGAGGGGACAGCTGTCTACGCTGACGACTTAATTCACTGGGCCAAGCCAAGTGCGGCACTTCTGCAAGTGTGACACTGCTCCTCTGGAATTATGAAGCTTCTGCGAATACCCTGGCATAGCCACAGGACAGCCACCACCATGCATAACCACTGCAGGCAGAGACAGCGAGGGTGCCTTACTCCCTCATCCATCCGCTCAGGTGTTCAGTGCTGACTGACTCTCATTCCCTGTCAGACGCTCTGCTGCTATGAACGGGATGGAGATACACCAGGAAATGCAGGGCTGCTGGGGAGCGACTGCAGCCAGACGGTGGGGCACTCCAGGGAGAGGGAAGCTGCCCAGAAAACATGTCTGAATCCGGCGAAGCTGAGGGAAGAGGGAGGGCAGGGCCTGGGCCTAGGGATGGAACTTGGAACGGTTGGTGCTGCCGGCATGTGGATTTGGGCCAAGGAGGCGGCAGAAGAGATGAGCTGCAAGAGGCAGACAGGGACGGGTCCTGGGGACAGCTGTGTCTGCAGCTGCTGGAGCCTCATCTCACGAAAGCATGAGCGCACAGGCGAGGGCTGGTTTCCATTTTGGTCCGATTGTCTGCCAGGCGGGAGAGTCCGGGAGAGCGGACAGTCTTAACTGCCAGCAGGGACAGACCTGAATACAGCCGGGAAATACCTATGAGGTCCGGGGAGAGGACAGCACAAGTGACTCAACATGACGGGGAAGGAAAAGGAGGCTCAAGAACAGCTCTGGGTGGGGCCGGGGGCCAGGCGTGGGAGCGCACGCCGGCGATCCCACCACTTTGGGAGGCCGAGGTAGGTGGATTGCTTGAGGCCAGAAGTTTGAGACCAGCCTGGCCAACATGGTGAAACCCCATCTCTGCAAAAAAAAAAAGGAAAAATTAGCCGGATGTGGTGATGCACACCTGTAGTCTCCAACTACTCAGGAGTCTGAGGTGGGAGGATCACTTGAGTGTGGGAGGTGGAGGCTACGGTGAGCCAAGATCTCACCATTGCACTTGGGCCTGTGTGGCACAGTGAGACCCTGTCTCAAAAAACAAACAAAAAACGTCTGGGGCTTGGGCCCAGGATATGGCAGGTGACAGCACTTCCTCTATTCAGGTCGCTGGGTCAGATTTGATATCCAGAGTTTTACTGCAAATCACCTAGTTTTTGCCAAATGTCTTTCTGTGAATCAGAGAGAGAGACTATAACAAGTTACTTTATTTTAAAAATTAATTTTAGAAATTTCAGAGACATGAATGCAAAAAAACCAAAAGTTTTTTTAAAAATAGCAGCAGATCGGCCAGGCATAGTGGCTCCCACCTGTAATCTCAGCAGTTTGGAAAGTTGAGGTGGGAGACTGAGACCAGCCTGGGCAACACAGGGAGACTCCATCTCTACAAAACTTTACAAATTAACCGAGCATGGTGGTCCCAGCTACTCGGGTTGCTGAGGTGGAAGATCGCTTGAGCTTAGGAGGTCAAGGCTGCAGTGAGCTGTGATTGCACCATTGTACTCTAGCCTGAGCAACAGAGTGAGACTGCCTCATTTGAAAAAAAAAAAAAAGCCCAGGCACAGTGGCTCAATCCCAGGATTTTGGGAGGCTGGACGGGTGGGTCACTTGAGGCCAGGAGTTCGAGACCAGCCTGGACAACATGGCGAAACTATATCTCTACTAAAAGTACAAAAATTAGCTGGGTGTGGTGGCACACGCCTGTAGTCCCAGCTACTCGGGAGGCTGAGGCAGGAGAATCACTTGAACCCAGGAGGTGGAGGTTGCCATGAGCCGAGATCACACCACTACACTCCAGCCTGGGTGACAGAAAGCGACTCTATCTCAAACAAAAAATAAAACAGCAGATAGAACTTACTTGTCCTGTGTATCAAAGGCAGGAATCTTGGTTTCAGTTCCTTTGTGCTGTATTTTTACCTTAACCCACCAACGCTGTCTTTAAAACACCCCAATCTAAGCAGAGCCACAAGCCCCATCAAGTCAGAAACACAAGATGGAGAAATGGAGGAAAAAAACAGGTGGAGGCACAGTGGGGCGTCTTTTCTCTCTGGCAGCCAGCTGGATCTGGATGCAGGGCTCGCTCTGAGACCGCAGAGCATTGGCCGGAAGCAGCCTGGGGACACAGGCCCTGGAGGGGTAGCTATCATGCACCCTCCAAGGGCCAGATCTCGGTCTTGGCAGTGAGCAGACTCAGGTGCTCCTGGGGTTCCCACTCTGCAGGGAATAAGGAAAGTGCCCAGGACGTGTCCGATGACAAGTGCCCCAGAAAGAGAAGCAGGCAGAGAGGCTGGCACCGGGTGCAGAGGGTTGAACGGGAATGCTGGGCGAGGGCCTGGGGCAGGGAGGAAGCGGCCAGTGTGGATGTGGGGGAGATACGGGGCTTTTCTAGGCAGAGGGAGGAGCAGACAGAGAAATGTTTTTAGAGCTAAGAACTCCTCTCAGGGTATGTGGCTGTACTGAGCTAAATTCTTCTCCTTTTTTTCAAGAAGATCACTGTCACCCAGCACTCAGCCCTCTCACAGTGCTGGGTCCCACATGTCCTTGTGAAAGGGGAAAGCAGGCTCTTAGCAGCGAGTGCAGGTACCGGCAGGCAGAACTCCTCGAAGGCTGGCTTCACAAAGGTGGTGTACTGCGTCAGAATCTGCTCCAGGTCCCTCCCTCGGCGCACGTCCCGGAGAACTGCAATGGCGAGAGCCAGGCGCGCATCAGATCTCAGGGCCTGCCACCAGCCCCGGCCAGGCAGGCAGGGAAGCCCTCGGCCACCTTACCTCTTCGAGACAGCCTGACGTCGGAGTCGGTGTCCACGAAGAGGCGCAGGTGGAACATGTCCCGGATCTCCTGGCTGTAGAACACCAAGATGCCCTCAAACAGCACCACGTCCGCGGGGTACACCACCGTGGTCTCCGGTAACCTGAGAGGGGGACGGGAAAAGGCCCTGCTGCAGACACAGGGTCTCCAGGGCCACGCACACAGCTTCCGTTCCTGGGACACTGACTCCGAGGAAGGGGGTACGGGACCCACAGACACCAACTGGCCCAGAGGGGATGTTCCAGCTGGCCCCTCTCCTCAGCCCTCCCAAGAACCGCCTGCTTACCTTGAGTGTGTCACAAAATCATAGGTCGGCACCTCCACAGTTTTGCCCTCCACAATGTTCTTTAGAGTCCTGTGCATCAAATCATTATCAAAGGCATCTGCAGGGATGGAGACAGAGGCAAGACAAGCCGGCTGCCCTCGTGCAGAGGACGGCAGGGAACCCTCTCTGCTCTGGTGTCAGCAGAGCTGGGTGCTGGGGACACCGGGGACCCTAGCACAGGTAGACTAAGGCCTGCCCACAGTTTGTGTCTGGTAGCAACAGCGCCCTCTGCAGCCCTGCAGACTACAGGATGACCCTGTCCTTGCTGTTCTCCGGCCCATGCTCTGTGCCACTGGGATGTCAAACACAGGGGTTTTCTGATCAGCTCTTGTGCGGGGTGAGTAGGCTGGGTCTCTGCTTCTCTCTCTTTCTGGGACTAACTGGTTAGATGGCGGCTTTGTGGGACTTCTTCCCACAAGTCCTTGGGAAAGGCTGATCGTGCCAGCCAGCCAGGGTGGAATCTTCCAGTAGTGGCAGGTGTCTCCCTGCCGCATCTGCCCCTTTACCTGGGCCAGAGCTTCAGGTCACCAGCGCCGGTTTACCCACTGCCTCCCACACTGGCCTCTCTGAGGACTTTGCCTCAAGGCAGGGGAGGGAAATGAAGGGCCACAGTGGGCAGAGCTTCTGCAGAGGGCCCTAAAGGCCACAACGTGGGAAGGGAAGATGGGAGGATTTCTCCAGGGTCACGGTTTTGGCAGGGCAGGGCAGGGCTCCCCATCGTGCGACGGGCTTCCTGACTGGCTGCAACCACACTCCCACGGGGGCACCCAGGGCCCAGAGAACTCATCAAAGTTCCCCTGACTTCACCGCGCAGCCAACTCCACTGTAGTCCGCATGGGGAACAGCTCAAGCCGGTCTGTATCCATCCAACCCTGGGCCCAAGCGCAGCCGGTCGGCGGACGCCCAACCTGGGATCTGCCCTCCCCCCACCGCTGGGCTCTCCATGTACCTGGGTGGTCGAAATTGTACTGTGCCTTCAAAGCCTTGGCCTTCTGTTCTGCCGTCAGGACCTTGTAGAACCTGTCCTGGCTCAGGATAACCACCTTCCGCTGCCGCTGCTCCACCTCATTCTGCCCCAGCAGCTCCATGATCTTCTCACACACTGTCGACTAGGAACACAGAAGCGGGATTCCCTCCTGGAACCTCTGGTCCTATGACAGGCACGGGGCCCCTCCTGGGGGCTTCTGCACAGGGCTGGCTTCTGGAGACACTGACCCACCTGTTCCCTGCGGGGATGCCCGGGAGGGGGAGGACACCAACAGGTGTGGATGGTCTCAGCGGGAGGGCCGCGGCGGCCCGACAGGGTCAGCACGGACTGGGGGCTCCGAGGGGCCCGGCCGGCAGAGAGGCTGTGGGGGACCCCCGAGGGCTGGAGCTCCAACCCCTTGCCCGCTCCAGCCCGCCCCAGCCCACCTCGGCCCGCAGCCCCTTCCCCACTACGCCCCTTCGCCCCTTCGCTCCCGCGCCCTGCCGCCGCCTGGGAGAGGACCCCTCGGCCGGGGCTGGAGTCTCCTCTCTGGACCCCGGCAGGACCGGGCCGCCCCAAGGCCTGCCCGGCTCCTTACCTTCCCGCTGGCAGTGCCGCCGCTCACCCCAATCAGAAAGGGCCGTTGGTGCGGACGGTCGACCTCTGGCGCGGCGCCCTGACAGTCGTCGCCTCCTGCAGAAGCCATCTCGGCCTCCGCTCCCCCACATTCAGGTTCCCGCGCCCGCCCCTTCCCCAGGCCCGGCGCGCCCGCCCGGCGCATTGGTTGGAGGCGACCCCGAAGACCACTTCCGGTAGACGCGCGGGGCACGTCGGGAGTTGTAGTCCACGCAGTGGAGTCGCGCATGCGTGTGGGAGACGGGCTCGGAGTGAGCACACCTGCGGTGCCTGCAGCCCGTCGAGCCGAATGCTGGCTGGCAGGGACAGCTGCGCCCCGGCTTCCAGCCGGCTGCAGGGTCACAGACGCAGGTGGCCGGGAAGGTGCCTGGTCCGCACCTGGAAGCTGTGGTTGCGCCGCCGCCCGAGTGCGTGCCCCCGCCTCGCGCTGCCTCTGCCCCAGTCCCGGGCCCTACCCCAGCCGCAGCCACACCTCGGTTCCCTCCACCCCAGACCCCTCATGGCCTCTGGACACAGTCCGGACGCCTCCTGTCCCACCCTCTGCTGGAGCCGTCGGGGCGCCCCGGAACGTGGCGAGGGCTGTCACCTGATGACTTCAGGCTTGCGCCCCTCGGGCTGTGCGCGCCAAGGAGGCAGAGGCCCGTGTGTCGGGTTCCACCCCTTCCCCGCTCCGTGCCTGGCGCAGAGAACGTTGCAGGCAAATTCTGATCCATGCAACTTGTGGAGTTCCCCAAGGCGTAAAGACTGTTTAAAAGTCCAGCTCCTAAAGCAGCCAGGCACTCCCTAATATTTGATGATGCTGAAATATGATCCCGGAGGGACTAGAGTAACCTGCAGGCGTGAGAAATCTTGGTTTTGTCACTTTGCGGGGTATTCATCCATCCCAGGAGGGGCTACAGGCAGCTCTCGGTGGGGACTGGGCTCCCGGAGTGCTGTGGACATGGAAAGCTGGAAGCTTCCTGAAGGGGCTACAGGCAGCTCCCGGTGATCAGTGGGAGGGGACCAGGCCCCCGGAGTGCTGTGGACATGGACAGCTGGAAGCTCCCTGAAGGGGCACTGGGTACGCTTGGCTTGCCAGGGAAAGCAGTCCCCTACACGGGGGAAAAACCGTGGCAGGTTAGGAGCCAGGTGACCTTGGGCGATGACATGATCACTCATGTTTTTCCACTTCCAGTGGAGGGGAAATAGCATGGTGAGACTTCCCTGCCCTATAGCACACAGAGAGAGGGCTTGGCCAGGGCCCGCCCCAGAGGCAATGTCTGGTCTGTGTTTTCTTAGAGTCTGTATTTGTCTAATTGGCATCCATTCATCACCGGGCCGGTTCTATTAACTACATTTTCTTATTTTCTGTATCCTTGGTGGTCTGGCATTTAGGCGCAGGGTTAGCCAGTTCTAAGACATAGCAAAGGCCCAGGGCAGAGCATGCTTTTCATATACGAAACAGCCAACTGAAGTCTACAGCCCCACCACCTCCTGATCTAATTCTCGCCCTGGTAGCCAAGATTCTCCTTGCCCTAAATCACCCAGGGCCAGGCGTCAGTCCACTAGAGACCACACTGCAGCCCAGATCCCACTAGGATTACTCAAACTAGCTAGTTTTAAACTCTTTCCCTGCACTGCCAGGCCTTCCCCATGAAAACCTGGAGAAAGTCTCGGGGCTGGGCTCTCCCCTGCTCCTGCTTCTGCCTCCTGACCAAACCTGGGGCTCCCTACAGGTCCTGTACGCCACGGTGCCCCTTCTCTCGGGAAAGGCAATCAACTTTGCAAGGGCTTTGGTCTCACCTCGATGTCACTCAGCCATACATCTGCAAATTAAACCCCAGGCACAGACCATTGCCTAGCAAACAATCACGCTGCTGGCTTAGACCTGTCTAGGTGTGTGCCCAAGAGGTGGCAATACCCCAAGCCAGCTTTGAACTTGTATCAGGGGAGACTTAGACACGGTTTCTTGCCATTTCCTCCCCTGCGGTCCAGCCACGTAGTGAAAGGCAGGAGGGAAACTAGCAGAGTCTGACCAGGGGCTGTCCCCAATACTCCTGGCCTCTGTCTCGTGTGCCCTCTCTGGGGACTAGACACAAGGCACGAGCTGTCAGGGCCAGTCAGGCTATGGCCTGGTTCTGCTCCCAAGGCAAAGGGACAGTTCAGGGAGGAGCCAGTCCCTGAGAGCAGGCCCAGCGCCCAGGAAGCCCACAGTCCAGGAAGCAAGGCCCCGGTCCACACAGCTCAGGCCTTTGGAGACAGTGGCTCCCCTGTGGGACCATCCTAATCACCACCAAGCAGAGGGCCAGCCCCAAACCTCCAACTGGTCCCCACCTCCCCATATTGTAAAGAAGAGTGACTTTTTTCATTGTTGTTGTTGAGACAGAGTCTTACTCTGTCGCCCAGGCTGGAGTGCAGTGGTGCAATCTCGGCTCAGTGCAACCTCCGCCTCCCAAGTTCAAGCGATTCTCCTACCTCCACTTCCCCGAGTAGCTGGTACTACAGGTGCCTGCCACCACACCAAGCTAATTTTTTGTATTTTTAGTAGAGATGGGTTTTCGCCATGTTGCCCAGGCTGGTCTTGAACTCCTGACCTCAGGTGAGCCACCTGCCTTGGCTTCCCAAAGTGTTGGGATTACAGGCGTGAGCCACTGCGCCCAGCTGAAGAGTGACCTTAAACAAGTGTGGGTGAGGCCTGGTGCGGTGGCTCACGCCTGTAATCCGAGCACTTTAGGAGGCTGAGGTGGGCAGATCACGTGGTCAGGAGATGGAGACCATCCTGGCTAACATGGTGAAACCCTATCTCTACTAAAAATAAAAAAAGTTAGCCAGGCATGGTGGTGCATGCCCGTAGTCTCAGCTGCTCAGGAAGCTGAGGCAGGAGAATCACTTGAACTTGGAAGGTGGAGGTTGCAGTGAGCCGAGATCGCGCCACTGCACTCCAGCCTGGGCGACAGGGCGAGACTCCATCTCAAAAAAAGAATGAAGGATGAGTGGATGGAAGGAATTCCTGGTGCGTTTGAGGCTTTGTTGGACCTTTATGGACATGTGCAGAGGCCTGGCCCTGCACAAGACACACTGTGGGTCACAGAGATGGAGGCAACAGGGCCAAGGAGTCTCCCAGGGCTGCTCCTGCCTCCCAGCCTGTGCTCGCCTCCTCAGGCCCACCAAGCCCCGGCCAGGATGCCTGCCTGTCCGCAGGAATCCTCCCATCCCAACCCTTTGTCACTGAAGCCGCTAACACAGAGGCAGTACAGCAGATGATTCTGCAGTCGCTTGCTTGATGGCTGCCCTGAGCCTCAAAGCACGAAGCGGGCAGGGCTGTGGCTGCCCACACAGTGAAGTCTCTGCCATGCCTAAGAAATGCGTAAGTGGGCACAGTGGCTCACACCTGTGATCCCAGCACTTTGGGAGGCCAAGGTGGAAGGATCACTTGAGCTCAGGAGTTTGAGACCAGCCTGGGCAATATAGCAAGACTGTCTCTACAAAAAGTTTAAAAATTAGGCTAGGCGTGGTGTCTCATGCCTGTAATTTCAGCACTTTGGGAGGCTGAAGCAGGCGGATCACCTGAGGTCAGGAGTTCGAGACCAGCCTGGCCTACATGGTAAAACCCTCGTCTCTACTAAAAATTAAAAAGTTAGCCAGGCGTGGTGACACATGCCTGTAATCCCAGCTACCCAGGAGGCTGAGGCAGGAGAATCACTTGAACCCAGGAGGTGGAGGTTGCAGTGAGCCAAGATCACGCCACTACACTCCACAGCCTGGGCAACAGAGCAAGACTCTGTCTTAAAA